TTGACGGTCGGAACCAACTTGCGTGAGTTAAACGCCCAAGATAAACGTGCCGCTTACGCCGCCGACATCACTTACTCGGTTCACTCCGAGATCGGATTTGACTACCTACGCGACAACATGGTCAAATCAATCGAGCAAAAGGTTCAGCGCGGTTTTCACTTTTGTCTAGTCGATGAGGTGGACTCAATTTTAATCGACGAAGCTCGCACGCCTTTAATCATTACCGGCGGACAAACAACTAATTCCGAGCAGTATAACGCGGCTAACGCTTTTGTTAACACGCTGGTAGAAAAGGATTACGAAATCGATTGGGAATCAAAAACGATCCAACTTTCGGACCACGGCGCTAACAAAGCGAACCGCTTTTTCGCCGTTAAAAACATTTACGACATTCAAAGTTCCGAAGTGATTCACCGCGTGCATAACGCTCTAAGAGCCAAATTTTTGATGAAACGCGACGTCGAATACATCGTGAGTGAAAACAAAATTTTGCTCGTTGATGCTTTTACCGGTCGTATCATGGAAGGTCGTTCGTATTCCGACGGACTTCAGCAGGCCATCCAAGCTAAAGAAGGGGTTGAGATTGAACCCGAAACAACCACTTTGGCTACGATCACCTACCAAAACTTGTTCAGAATGTTTAAGAAACTTTCGGGCATGACCGGAACCGCTAAAACCGAGGAAGACGAGTTTATTGACATTTACAACATGCGCGTACATGAAATACCGACCAATAAACCGATGATTAGGGTCGATCACCCCGACGTTATCTACGTGGATCAGCAGTACAAATACCAGGCGATCGTGAATGACATTGCGGCTCGCTTTGCCAAGGGCCAACCCGTTTTAGTCGGAACCGAAGAGGTTTATGAATCGGAAAAACTGTCCCGCATGCTCAAAGCTGAGAAAATTCCCCACACCGTTTTAAACGCTAAGCAAAATCAACAAGAGGCGGAAATCATCGCTAAGGCCGGCGAAATTAATTCCATCACGATTGCGACTAACATGGCTGGTCGAGGAACCGACATTAAGCCTAGCGAACGGGCAGTTGAGTTAGGCGGTTTGTATGTGCTGGGAACTAACAAAGCCGAAGCACGTCGCATTGATAACCAGTTGCGTGGGCGCTCGGGTCGCCAGGGCGATATCGGCGAATCACGTTTTTACATTTCGCTTGATGACAAGTTGATCAAACGTTTTTCCAACCAGGAAAAACTAAAGAAACACTTCCTGTCCTACGGACCAAAGCCGATCAGCGGTAAACTGATTAACCGTTACATTAACCGTGCTCAGCGAAAAATTGAAGGCTTTAACTTTGATACGCGTAAAAACTTGCTTCAGTACGACGACGTGGTCCGTCAGCAACGCGATTTAATTTACGCCCAACGTGATCTAATCATTTCCCAAACTGATCTTTACCCGGTGATCGTGCGCATGATTAAATCGGTCGTGAATGATTTGGTCGAATTTCCCCAGTTTTTCCGCAACGATGGTTCAATGGACTTGGACAAAATGGTTGCCACCATCAACCACGTTTGGTTTCAACTAGTTGATTTTAAGTTCCACGTTAACCAACTGGTTGACTTTAGCAAAGAGGAATTAATCGAGCAAATTAGTAAGGACGCGATTGAGGTTTACGACGTATTGCGCTCGCGGGTGGTTGACAATGTTAACGAAGAAAGTGCCCACCAAATGGAACGTGAAATTTTGTTGATGACTTTTGACCAAAACTGGCAACTCCACATTGACCAAATGACTAAGTTAAGATCATCATCTTCGCTAGCCCACTACGCTCAGAAAAACCCGTACCAAGTTTACGTGGAACGCGGCACCGAATTATTCCGTGACTTACTAAAACGCATCTCGCACAACGTGGTGCGAATCTTAATGCAAAACAAATACGCGCAGCAAAAAGTTAACACCCGCGAAGCTGAAATCAGCGCTTTGCTGAAGAAAATGGAAAGTAAAGCCGACGCCAAAAAATCGAAGTAATTTTTCGTTAATTAATTTTTGCCAGTCTATTTAAAAACAAAATTACAAAAAATGTATTTTTGCTATAATGGACTTAGTTTTAAATTTCAACTTATGAAAAGATTTTTTTACCGCCTAGAAACGAGCGATTTGATTCGTCAAATCACTGTTTCGGCGTTGCTAATTACACTCGGCGTGGTAATCGAACGTTTTCTACACTTTCACGTTTCGGTCGGCGTTTACCCGATTTGTCTCGGCGGGCTTTTGATGGCCCTAGCTATTCCGCTTTTGGTTGACTGGCGGGTGGCACTGGTAAGTAGTTTGGCGCTGATCACTTTAACCGAGCTATTAATTTCGGGTGATCCCAACTTTTGACTCAATTATTTGCCGATGGTGTCTGCGATCGTGGTGATTGAGATCTTTAAGTCCTTTAAGCGCCTTGGTTGAGCTGCGCTTGGTCTATGCATTGCCCTAACCGCCTTTGTTTTTCAAAAAGCATTTTTAGCTCAATTAGTTTACGGCGGTTCCGTAGCGATCGCAATGTTGATCTCAACCGCTGTTCAAATGGTTATCCTTGGTCCGGTGGCGCTCCTAATTTACGTCTCCCTTTACCGTGTTATGATTAGCATGAATCGCACTTTTTACAAAGTAACTTAGTTTCGGGGTGAGAGATGCTTGATATGAATAAACTGCTCGCTAGCGTGGCGGTAGCAGCTCAAAACGCACAGAACATGCACTGAAACGTTCGCGGTCAGCAGTTCCGTACTTTCCACAAGTTGACCGAAAAGCTTTACCAAGGTCTCAACAATTTTGTTGACGAACTAGCCGAAAAAATTGCCATGCAAAACGCACAGCCTCTGTCAACCATGGCCGCCTACCTTGAGCACAGTCAAGTTAAGGAGTACCAGCCGCACGCTTTTAGTGCCCAAGAAATTGTTACTAACGTGGTTAGTGACCTTAACCAAATTCAAACTTTGGCCGAGCAAGTTAAATCTAACAGCGTGATCCAACCGCTGCTCGACGAAATTTTTCTTTTCGTAGACAAGCAGCGGTGGTTTTTTGCTACGCATGCTAAGTTAAAGGTGAATAGTTAGTTGATGAATTTTAAGTTAGAAAGTAAGTTCAAGCCAGCCGGTGATCAACCGCAGGCGATCAAAGCGCTTTTAGCGGGCTTAGCCCAGAAAAAGACCGACCAAGTTTTGCTAGGAGCCACCGGCACGGGCAAAACTTTTACAATCGCCCACGTAATTAAGAAGATCCAGCGTCCGACGCTAGTTTTATCGCACAACAAAACTTTAGCGGCTCAACTTTATTCGGAATTAAAAAGTCTCTTTCCGAGCAACAGCGTTGAGTATTTCATATCTAACTTTGATTACTACCGCCCCGAAGCTTACCTACCTTCTTCTGATACTTACATCGAAAAAACTTCGCAAAGCAACTGGGACATTGAAGTGATGCGCATGAGTGCGCTGAACTCGCTTTTAACTCGGCACGACACAGTTGTGGTCGCTTCGGTAGCGGCTATTTACGCTCAGCTGTCTCCGAAAGAATACGTGGCCACTTTCATGCATTTAAAAGTCGGCCAAGAGTTTGAGCGCGAAGAGTTGCTCGGAGCGCTCGTGGCCCGCAACTACGTTCGTAACGACGTGGAGCTAGCGCCGGGTCGGTTCAGAGTTCGCGGTGACGTGATCGAAATTAGCCCTGGCTGAACCCAAAACTTTTACATTCGACTCGGTTTGCTCGATAATCAAATCGAATCGATTGCTCAAGTTGACACTTTAACGGGCGAGCTGATTAAAAAAGAAAGCAAACTTTTGCTTTTTCCGGCCGACGCTTACACGACTAGTCGCGACGTAATCAAAAGAGCTACCAAAACAATCGCCGACGAGTTAGTGGTCCGTTTGGCTGAGCTCAAAAAGCAGAACAAACTTTTGGAAGTTCAAAGGCTAGAACAAAGAACTAACTCTGACATTGAATCTTTGCTTGAATTTGGAACTTGCCCAGGGATTGAAAATTACTCCCGGCATTTAGAAGGTCGTTTACCCGGTCAACGTCCGGCCACGATCCTGGATTATTTTCCCGCCGATTCTCTGATGGTGATTGACGAATCGCACATGATGATTCCGCAGATTAACGCCATGTATAACGGCGATCGAGCCCGCAAGGAAACTTTGGTGGAGTACGGTTTTCGTTTGCCTTCCGCGTTAGATAACCGTCCGCTCCGTTTTGAGGAATTTCAGGCTTTTCGATTTAACCGGATTTACGTTTCTGCCACGCCAGCTGATTACGAAATAGCCAAGTCTGACCACCGCATCATAAGTCAAATCGTCCGACCGACGGGACTATTGGACCCGGTAATTGAAGTGCGACCAACCGCTAACCAAGTTGAGGATATTTTTAACAGCATCAAACTTCAAAACCAACAAAAAGAACGCACGATCATCTTGACCACCACCAAAAAAATGGCCGAAGAACTTTCCTTTTACCTAAAAGAGCGGGGTTTAAAAATCGCCTACATCCACTCTGAACACAAAACTTTTGAGCGGGACGACATTTTACGCAAACTGCGCAAAGGTGTTTACGATGCGATCGTGGGTGTTAACTTAATCCGTGAGGGTATTGACATTCCTGAGGTATCACTAATTTGCGTGGTGGATGCCGATAAGGAGTCTTTTTTTCGTTCCACTAAGTCGCTGATTCAAATCATCGGGCGCGCTGCCCGTAATGTGCACGGGAAAGTGGTTTTTTACGGGGACAAAATTACCACTTCAATGCAAAATGCCATCGATGAAACTAATCGTCGTCGCAAAATTCAAATTGCCTACAACCAAAAACACGGCATTACTCCCCAAACGATCGTCAAACCAATTCCGGCTCCGATCCACGGCCAAACGATTGACGAAGCGATTGAAGAATTTAAAACTGGTCGTCGCCAAAAAGATAAAAAACAGCAGCGGGAGTTCGTGGCCGATTTACGACGCCAAATGTTACGCGCTTCTAAGGAACTTGATTTTGAAAGAGCAGCCCAACTGCGCGACATTATCATTGAACTAGAAGTTGAGTACCACCTTGAGTAAGTTGTTCTAGTTGCTTGTTTAAACAAGTTTGGGAAAAGTCGCCTGGGCGGGCAGAGTTATAATGACTGCAACTATTAAGTAGCCCGCTAATGTCGGTAAAAACTCAAACCCCCAACTCTCAACCTCTTAAATTCGCTGGAAAATTCAAAACTTTGGTCAGTCGTTTTGCGAAGGCGATTTTAACTATGATTGCTGTTTTGCCCGCGGCCGGTCTTTTGATTGTGGTTGGTAAAGTGATCGGTCCGCTTGGTCTCGGGAAAATACCGGCTAGTTCTGCCGTGTTTAACCAAATTGGTGCGGTGATTGAAACCGTCGGATGGCTACCTTTTACTCACATCGGTCTTTTGTTTGCGATTGCGATCGGCGGCGCTTGGTCTAAAAATTCGGCTGGTGGTGCTTTTGCAGCTGGTCTGAGTTACTTTACTTTGTTAGCGGTCGGTTCCTCGTTTTTCTTAATTAGAACGGGCGGCACAGGTGATGGTGAATACTTTTTAAATTACATCGTCGGTGCTAAGTGGACGCCAACGCGCGGCTACTTCACTTGGCAAGAAGGTGTCCGCTCGGTCAGTTTCGGCGCCTTGGGAGGCATTTTAACCGGCTTTCTCGGAGCAATAATTTACAACAAATTTCACACTTTTAATCGTTTGCCAAAAGTTTTGTCTTTCTTTAACGGTGTCAGATTCGTGCCTTTGATGGTTTTTGCCATTGTCGTGCCGCTCGCTTGCGGACTCGCTTTAGTTTGGCCCTTACTCCAAGCGGGCATAAATTGAATGGGCACGAACATCGCTAAAAATAATCGCATTCCGTTTGCCATGCCGTTTTTGTTTGGAACGCTTGAACGTTTGATGTTGCCCTTTGGTTTACACCACTTGCTGACAATTCCGATGAATTACACCGAACTGGGCGGAAATCTCGACTTTTTAGACGCCAACACCTTTCAAGATACGCTGTCCCGGCGCGGTTCTTCGGGTTTAACCGGCCAGCAACTAGCTGATTTTTTTGCGCACTTGGCCAAGCAAGATTTAGTTAAAACCGACCAGCTACAAGCCCAAGGGCAAGAGTACATGTGGTACACCTGAATTCAAGCCCTTAACGGAGTGCGCGACCACTGGCAGAGTTACGCGACCGACCAATCCATCCCTGTTTCAACCGAGGTTGTTTACCAAGTTGTTTCAGGGTCATTTACCCCGGCGCGTTTTAAGACCGGTCAAATGATTAGTTCGTCTGGTTCGTTAGTGGGCGCCGCTTTTGGCATGCTTTACGCGCTCAAGAAATCGCTTCGTCCACTTAACCGTTCAATCTATGTTTCTGGTGCCTTGGCTTGCTTGCTGACAGGCGTGACCGAACCGGTTGAATTTTTGTTTATGTTTGTTTCGCCGCCGCTTTACTTAGTTCACGCCCTATTAACCGGCGTTGCCTTCGGCATGGCTGATTTTTGGCCGATGCGAATTCACGCCTTTGGTTTGATCGAAACAGTTTTGAAATACTTAATGGTGCTTGGTCCAAGCAGTTTAATCACCAGTTCCCTCAGCACCAATTTGTGACTTGACGGAGTCTGGTTTGTTTTCACGAGTTTAATTTTTGCCGGTGTTTACGCATTTACCTTCAGGGTGTTAGTAGTTTGACTTAAACCACCGATCCCTGGTTTCCAAACGCTTACCCCAGTCTCAGACTCCCAAGTTGTCACCAGTCGACCGCCACCGCTAGTTTTACCTAAGACTCAAGACAGAATTGTGACAATCGTCAAACTGCTGGGCGGCAAAGAAAACATCCAAGAAGTTGACGCTTGCATGACTCGGCTACGGATCGTAGTTAGCGATACTGAGCGGGTGGAAAATAAATTTAAAGAACTGACCCAAGCTTTAGCAACAGTTAACCAGGGAAATTACTACCAAATTGTTTACGGACCAGAAGCCAACTCGCTCAAAGAGGCAGTTCTTAAACACCTAGAGCAGTTAGAAAACTAAGTTAAAACGGATTTTATGGGCAAAGTGATGTCACGCAGAAAGGAAACGGAATGAAAATGAAAAAGAAAGAGCGTAATTACCCCTGTCTCATTTGCGCATCTAACGGAAAGATGGGCGCCCAAAACTGCGCATTTTGGAGCGATGGAGAACACTTGCCGCTGCCGCCAAGGGTTCCAACTGGATTAGGCATTGAATAAGGAAATGTTGCGTTTGCTAAAACAGGACGAGGTAAAAATGGACTCTAGAAAAACCCTTTTTGAAAATTTCCCCGTTAAAACGAGGATTTTTCACCACCAAGATGATTTTGTAGTCGTTGAGAAAGTTAGCGATGCTTGGGTTGAAGGGCGTCAATTGGTCGTGGAAATGCTTCTTTCTAACTTACAAAAGTCTTACTTACGAATTGAAATTTGAACAGACCAAATAATTCGTTTCAGCTACCACCAAAAAAAATGACCTAAAAAACGCTTTGCCGAGCACCTTAACCCCGAACTAGGGCCGCAAAAAGTTGCCATGTCGCAGGAAGACGACCGAGTTAGCGTGAACTTAGCAAGTCAAGAAAAAATTTTGATCGCTAAAAAGACGGGTCAAATTGAACTGGTTGATCGGCAGGGGGTAGTTAAGTGGCGGCTTTGTCATAAGACTGGTTACCGACTTTTTGCTAACTTGAGCACTCCCCACCTTGGATTCAAAAATGTGCGCGAAAACAAAAGTTTACCCTTTATTTCGTTTGAGTTGTTCAACGACGAAAAAATTTACGGACTGGGTGAAAAATTTCGTCCCTTTGTTAAAAACGGAGTCGAGTCGGTGGTTTGGAACAGCGACAGTTCTTGTTTAACCAACCACGACTTAGCTTACGCCGGAGTTCCGCTCGTTTACTCAACCAAAAATTGAGCCGCCTTGGTCAACTCCGGTTCGCAAGTTGACTTTGAAATCGGCTCTCCAACTAGCGATGCACTTTCAATTCTTTGCCACGAAGAATTTTTGGACTTATTTCTTTTGAGTGGTTCAAGCATCAAAGATTGCGTTAGTCAGTACACCTTGTTAACCGGGCGCATTAAGGGCGTGCCTGACTTAGCTTACGGCGTTTGGTTGAACCGCCTTTACTACCATAACGCTGAGCAACTTTGGGAACAAATCCAACTCGCTCAAAAAAACGCTTATCCGCTGGACGTCATTACGCTAGATCCAAAGTGGTTAAAAGATCGCTACGTTAAATCGTGCAACTTTGAGCTTAACGAAAGCGTCTTCGGTAATTTTGCCCAGTTAATTGACCAAATTAAAAAAGCCAACTTAGAAGTTTGCTTTTGGATTAACCCGTACATCCAAGCCGACGGAGGTTACGTTTGGAAGCACCTCAGCAAAAACAACTTGCTACTCAAAAACCACGAAGGACAGTTGGTCCACCCTTGAACCGGAACCGAAACTAAGCAAAACAACAATTACATCGTTGATTTCACCAATCCCGAAGCTTACCGCTGGTACAAGGAGCAGATTAAGCGTTTGTTTGATTTAGGGGTTCGTTTTGTCAAGCCTGACTACGGCGACGGAGTGCCTAAAAACGCCTTTGTTAGTTCGCGTCAATTCGGCGGAACTTTGCGCCAGTGGTTCATCTACCTTTACCTACGTTGCTGCTACGAAGCAAGTCTAGAGTACTTTGGCGATGGTCAAGCGCTAATTTTTGCCCGACCCGGTTTCATCGGAACCCAAAAATTTGTGGGTAAATGGTCCGGAGACAGTTACACCGATTACGCCTTTTTAAAAACCCATCTTTGAGCAGGTCTTAGCGGCGCACTAGCGGGACACGTGATCTGGGGCACCGACATCGGCGGTTTCGCCGGACCTCAACCAAGCGAAGATCTTTACCAGCGTTGGACGCAGTTTGGCATGCTAACTCCGCTCTCACGTTACCATGGCATCGGTGCTCGCGAACCGTGACTTTTCAGCAACCAAACTTACCAAATCGCGCTCAAATTCGCCCATCTCAAGCGTTCTTTGTTGCCCTACTTTAAAATTTACGAGCAAGAGGCGGTCAGTCAGGGACTGCCCATTTTGAGGCCGCTCGTTTTAGAATATCAAAGCGACAAAATTGCCCAGTTAGTCGATGACCAATATTTGCTCGGTCAGCAAATCATGGTTTGCCCAATTTTAACGGCCAACACTAAGGTTCGACAAGTCTACTTGCCAGCCGGTCAGTGGCACTTGTGGGGTGAATACGAAAAAATTTACCAGGGGCAAAAGTTAGTTACTTTGGATTGCCCAGTCGATCAAGCGCTGGTTTTTGTGAAAAGCGGTAGTTTGATCATCACCGTGCGAGACGTTGGTTTTAAATTTGCTGATTTAAACGGTTTGACTTTTTTAGCTCATCGCTACGGCCAAGTTGCTAACCAAACGCTCAGTTTTAAATTGGGCGACCAAGTGCATGTAATTACCTATGAGGACGGCCATTTAAAAATTAATTCCGACCAAAAAGTTGAACTAGTTCCGGCGCTAGTTAGTGCCTAGCGGCTCACCGAGCGGTTAGTTGTTTAGTATAATTCGCTCATACTTAGAAAACTAAGCGGGGGTAAAGAAAATTAGTTCAACCATTCAGTCGCGTCGCGGCACTCTTGATTGAAGTTTTACCCGCAGATTTTTCGGCATCGTTTTCCCAGTCATCTGTCAGGCGATAATCATTTTGCTGGTTGGTCAAATTGACATCATCTTTGTCGCCAACAGTTTTAGTCAGAATTTGCCCGGCGTCGGCGTTGTGCTGGAAATCTTTCAAATTTTTGTCACGCTCAGCATTTCGGTCACTATTGCCTGCAGCATCTACGTTGGTCAGTACAAAGGCCAGGAAAACAACTTTAAAATTCAGGAATCAATCCGGTGCGGGTGAATTTTAGGCGTGCTAATCGCCGTTCCCGCCATTTTAGTTTTGACTTTGGCTGGCGGAAGTTTAATCGAAGCGATTCTCAGAGTTGATCCGCGTTACACGTTTAGCAAAGATCAAATTGAAGCCGGCTTTGATTTCTTATCGGTTTTAGCTTTTGGTCTGATTTTCCAAATTTACGCCATGATTAACTACGGAGCACTCCAAACGCTTGGTTTTACCAACCGAACTTTGCTGGTTTCGCTGGTAGCGTTCTTGGTTAATGTGCTGGGTAATTATCTTTTCGTGGCTTTAGCCGGCCAAACGCTGGGAATCGTCGGCATCGCCTGGGCAACGTTAATCGCTCGCGCCGTGGAAGCGGTTTTAATCACGCTCGTTTTTTGGCAGAAAAAAGTTCGTCCCTATAACCCGTTTAGCCGACCTTTTAAAGTGACGCCGACCGTTTTATTGGGAGTTCAAAGGCAGTTTTGACCGATTCTATTCTCAAACGGCATTTACCAAATGCTGGTCTTTATTAACCGGGTTTTGATAATTCGCTACGGCGGCACGGATAGTTACCAGGCAACGGTGCTGATTCTGATTTTTATGAGCGTGCTTTACGCCTTTTGGTCTTCCTGTTCGATCGCGGTCTCTAACTTCGTCGGGCCTGCGCTCGGCTCTAACCAAAGCGACTTAGCGATAGCCAACAGTAAGCGAATCACCAAACTGTTTTACGTGATGGTTTCCATCGCGGCCGCGATCATGTTTCTCCTGGCTTGAACGCTGATGGGTGTGATTTACCCGAACGTTGGCGCCGGTATACGTTCCAATGCGAGTTGAATCTTAACGTTTCAAGTGGTTGGTTTTCTGTTTTCTTCCGGTTCGGTGCTCCTAATTGGGTTCTTACGAATCGGTGGTAAAAGTGCTTTGGCAGCCGTGGTAGACATCGGTTTTTCAACTCTGCACCAAACTTTATTGGTTTGGATTCTTTACAAGTTTTTCGGCATGGAAACGCGTTTTATCTTCCTAGTGATGGCACTGGCAGAGATTATTCAAACGGGCCTATTTTTATGGCTGG